TACCTCCCATATCCACCTAGATTATATCAAAAATTTTTTACTAGCCAAGGAGCTAGAGAACTTTTTCCTAAGCGTGTAAAATTCTGCATTGCCTGGAACCACTTGAATATTAAACTTGGAGAGTTAAGAACAAAAGGGCCAATGATTTAAAGCTTTTGCTAACAACATCTAAAATATGCCTTCTGTGAATTAAAATGTGAGAAAAGGATGAAAATGTAATGAGAAAGCCTGAAAGGATCATGTAATAAAAATTTTTGAGGACTGTTATGGGCTGCATTTTGTCCTCCCCGCAGACTCATATGGTACAGCCCTTACCACCACTAACTCAGGATGTGACCGTGTGTGGAGATAGGGCCTTTAAAAAGATGATTAAGTTAAAATGAGGCCATTAGAGAAGGCACTGATCCAATGTGACTGGTGTCATAAGAACCATAAGGAAATTTGGACACAGAACGAGACATGAGGGATGCTTGGGCACAAGGAAAAGACCATCTGAGGCTGTAGTGAGCAGGTGGCCATCTACAAGCCAAGGAGAGAGGCCTCAGAGGAAGCCAAACCTGCCAACAGGTTTAGACTTCTAGCCTCCAGAGCTGTGAGAAAAATAAGTTTCTCTTGTTTAAACCACCCAGAATGTGGTATTTTGTTATGGCAGCCCTAGCAAACTATTACAAGGACAGTAAATTGCTTATTGGACTTTACACTTACACTAATGAAGAAGTAAGAAATAAACACAGGTTCTAAAACCTATATGGCCTTGTTCCCTGAATCAAAACAAGCAAACAGTATTTAGGGTATAATTATATTGTCCAGAGTTTCTCACCTCTTAAGAAATCGGTTTAAACTTTGGTGAGTGGTACATATTATTCACAGAAACCTTGCCTAAACGTAATTTAGTATTCCTAGTTTAATTTAATTTAATTTTTTTTATTTGACAGAGAGAGACACAGCGGGAGAGGGAACACAAGCAGGGGGAGTGGGAGAGGGAAAAGCAGGCTTCCTGCTGAGCAGGGAGTCCGATGCGGGGCTCAATCCCAGGACCCTGGGATCATGACCTGAGCTGAAGGCAGACGCTTAACGACTGAGCCACCCAGGCGCCCCGTATTCCTAGTGTAATTGTTACTTCAAAATGTGAGCCTAGGTACATTTTGAGGTATAGGTATTTCTTTCATAAGATAGAATTTTGTGTGATTGCTAACTATGAACCCAGTTTTGCAATTTTAACATTGTGGCCAAGCTAAATGATGATTACGTTAATGATTGTGTCATTATTTTTGTCCTACATTATTCCTCCAGATTATAGTTTCTTGAACAGCGAATAAACAAGTATTCAGGTATTCAAATGGAAGGTCATATTTTGACCTCTAGATCCTAATTTACCACGTTTCATTCCATTTACCAATAAAACTTTCTTTTCAGGGGTGCCTGGGTGGCTCAGTCGGTTAAGCGTCTGACTTCCGCTCAGGTCATGATCTCAGGGTCCTGGGATCAAGCCCCACATAGGGCTCCCTGCTCAGCAGGGAGCCTTCTTCTCCCTCTCCCACTCCCCCTGCTTGTGTTCCCTCTCTCGCTGTGTCTCTCTCTCTGTCAAATAAATAAATAAATCTTTTAAAAAAAACAAAGCAAACCAAACCAAACTTCCTTTTCATAAATAATGTTATTTTATCACCCACCTTCTGAGAGCTGTCAGTTTATTAGTAATTATTGATTTTATTATGAAATGTCTCAAGTATATACAAAGAGCTAGATAACATAAGCAACAGAGTACTCCCCATCATTTAGCTTGACAAATTAAACATGACCCCTCCCAGGCCCGTTTCTTCAATCCAGAAGTAACCATCCTCCTTAATTTGTTATTCATTCCCATACATATTTTAGATTGTTATTTCCATAGGCCTTTTTTTTTCTTTTTGCCTTGTTAGAAATGCCATTTCTGTGTGCTTTTTTCTGCAGTTTGCCCTCTGGTTCAGGTTAGGTTTTTGAGATTTATCCATGCTGACACATGTAACTCCAGCTATTTGTTTTTACCTTGTGTAGTAGTAGTACATTGTCTGACTATACCCCAGTTTGTTTTCCTCTTTGGACACTTAAGTTGTTTGTAATTTTTGCTATTATATACATTGCTGTAATAAACATTTTTATATGCATCTCTATGCAGATGTGCCAGAATTTCTGTAGAATATATGACCAGAAATGGCACTGTTTCAGATGCCATCTTATTCTCTGTTTACTGGTGAAATCTGAGTGTATTTCATGCTGTATATTTATTGACTATTTGGGGATTTTTTTTTTTTTCCTGGTAAAAGCTTGTTATATCAGTTAGAGTCCAGTCAGGAGACAGAAACCAAACAGTAATTTCACCAGAGAAAGTGTAACATAATGGGTTATTAGAGGAATGAAGTAAGAGGGCAAAGAGAACTCTATGGAGAATACAGAATTAGCAGATGCTCGTAGCAGCCACCACCCTTATGACTGAGATAGAGCACCCAGGGAAGAGGCCGTTTCCTCTCAGGCCTGAGATTCTGCCCTTATTGGAGAGTGGTAGTGGTCACTGAGGTGCCACCCCAGTGGGACTGCTGGAAATCTGCCCTCAGGACAGCTGGGCGAGGCCTTCCACAGGGAGGTGCTTAGCCTCAGAACTCACTGCAAGCTGCTGTTGCGGGTTTGGGGCATGTAGCCAGTGATGTTCCAGTCTGAAGCTCCCTGGAGTTGGGGGTCCTGCCCTTGGGAAGGTGCTACTGCTATTAGCACATGCGTGCTGCTGAAAAGTAGAATGTGCACTCTGCAAGAACTGGAGAAAGTGAGCCCACTGGAACTAGGGAGAGAAACCCCTTCCTCTTCCTTCATAAAGGATGATTTGGAAGAAATAGTTCATCAGTATGTTAGGCATGTAATGATTTACATAGGCCTTTGTGGGACTAATCCTAGAACCTTATCTACCATTTACAGCATTAATTCTGTGAGAAACGTATTGAGAGTTCCCAAATCCTAAGTTTACAATAAACCTTAAGAACAAATGGCAAGTATTTTCCTTAATCTTCCACTCTTTGTTTTCCATCCTCCTTGTTTCTCTCCTCCTTCCCTTGTGTCTTTTATTTTGCTTACATCTGATCCTTGCTGATTTCTTCTTCCCCTGAATTACCAATGCTTCACTATTCTTATTTTCCCTTATTCTGTGACTTTCTTCTTCTTTAAGTCCTGTGTGGTCAGATTGGCTGTGTAAGTTTTTAGAGCAGTGAATTATAGGCATGCCTTGAACCCTAAGTGCATAAAGCTACAGGGGTTTAGCTAAGCTGGACGAAAAGGGTCAAGACTTCCTCTCTCTACATATCCTGTATTGCAGAGTATAAGATGGGTTGAAATAGTTCTTGAAAGCAGTCCTTTAGAAATGTTATAGTAGTTCCCTCTGCCTCCTGGTCTAAGTGTGGCTTTTTATATATAAATATCATTATTGCCAAGTTTCCCCCATCCACACATAAGAGATCCATTCAGGCTTTTGCTTAAATGAAGAAAGTGTTCATAGTGGAAAACGGATCTTGGCAATTGTTTTCTAGTCAACAAGAACCTACATTTTTCTTTCTTTTTAATTTTTATTAAGGTGTAATTGACATATGACATTATATTACTTTCGGGTATATAACACAGTGATTTAATATTTGTATATATTATAAAGTGATCACCACAATAAGTCTAATTAACATCCATTACCATACATAGTTACAAAAAAATTATTTTTTCTTGTGATGAGGACTTTTAAGATCTACTCTCTTAGTAACTTTCAAATAACAGGTGGGTTCAAGTTCCAGACCACCACAGTAAAGCAAATATCACACTAAAGAAAGTCAAATGAATTTTTGGTTTCCCAGTGCATATAAAAGTCGTCTTTATACCATACTGTGGTGTATCAAGTGTGCAATAGCATTCTGTCTAAAAAAAAAACAACGTAAATACCTTAATTTTAAAATATTTTATTGCTAAAAAATGCTAACCATTACCTGAGCTTTACTGAATCGTCATCTTTTTGTTAGTGGGGGTGGCGGTCTTGCCTGAATACTGACGGCTGCTGACTGATCAGGGTGGTGGTTGCTCAAGGTTGGGCTGTCTATGGCAGCTTCTTAAACAACAATGAGGTTTGCCGTGTCTGTTTTACTATTCCTTTCACAAACAATTTCTCTGCAGCATGCAATGCTAGCTGATAGCATTTTTTTTTTTTAAGATTTTTTATTTATTTATCTGAGAGAGAGAATGGGAGACAGAGAGCATGAGAGGGGGAGGATCAGAGGGAGAAGCAGACTCCCTGCCGAGCAAGGAGCCCGATGCGGGACTCCATCCCGGGACTCCAGGATCATGACCTGAGCCGAAGGCAGTTGCTTAACCAACTGAGCCACCCAGGCGCCCCTAGCTGATAGCATTTTAACCACAGTAGAACCTCTTTCACAATTGGAGCCCATCCACTCAAACCCTGTCGCTGCTTTATTAAGTAAGCTTATGTCATATTCTAAATCCTCTGTTGCCATTTCCACAATCTTCACAGCTTCTTCACCAGTAGATTCCATCCCAAGAAACCAATTTCTTTGCTCCTCATTGTTCAGGTTTTGTTCTGAGATTGCAGTAGTTCAGTCCCATCTTCAGGTTCCATTTCTAATTCTAGTTCTCTCACTATTTCCACCATATCTGCAGTTACTTCCTCCACTGAAGTCTTGAATCCCTCAAAGTCATCCATGAGGGTTGGAATCTGTGACTTCCAAACTCTTGTTCATGTTGATATTTTGACCTTTTCCCATGAATCATGATGTTTCTAATGCCACCTAGAATGGTGACTTCTTTCAAGAAGATTTCTATTGCCTTTACCTGGATCCATCAGAAGAATCACTAACCATGGCAGCTGTAGCCCTATGAAATGAACTTCTTAAATAATAAGATTTGGAAATTGGGGGCGCCTGGGTGGCCCAGTCAGTTAAGCATCTGCCTTTGGCTCAGGTCATGATCCCAGGGTCCTGGCTTTGAGTCCCACATCAGGCTCAGCGGGGAGCCTGCTTCGCCCTCTCCCTTTGCCTGCTGCTCCCCCTGCTTGTGCGCTCACTCTCTCTGTCAAATAAATAAAATCTTTTTAAAAAATAAGATTTGAGAATTGAAATTATTCTTTGATCCATAGACTGCAGAATGGATATTGTGTTAGCAGCCATGAAAACAACATTCATTAATCTCGGTGTCCATCTCCATCAGAACTCTTGGGTGACCAGGTGCCTTTTCAGTGAGCAGTAATATTTTAAAAGGAATCTTTTTTTTTCCCTGAGCAGTAGGTCTCAACATTGGGCTTAAAATATCCAGTAAACCATGTTGTAAAACAGATGGGCTGTCATCCAGGCTTTGTTGTTCCATTTAGAGAGCACAGGCAGAGTAGAGTTAGCATTATTCTTAAGGGCCCTAGGAATCTCAGAATGGTAAATGAGTATTAACTTCAACTTCAAGTCACCAGCTGCTGCATTAACCCCTAGCAAGACAGCCTGTCCTTTGAAGCTTTGAAGGCAGGTATTGACTTCTCTCTACTATGAAAGTCCAAGGTGGGTCTTCCAATAGAAGAGGGTTTCATCTACATGGCAAATCTGTTGTTTAGTGTAGCCACCTTCATTTATTATCTGAGCTACATCTTCTGGATAACTTTCTGTAGCTTCTACATCAGCACTTGCTTCACTTTGTACTTTCATGTTATGGAGATGGCTTCTTTCCCTAAACCTCATGAACCAACCTCTGCTGTGCCTCAGACTTTTCTGCAGCTTCCTCACCTCTCTCAGCCTTCTTAGAATAGCAGTTAGGGCCTTGCTCTGGACTAGGCTTTGGCTTCAGTGACTGTTGCAGCTGGTTTGATCTTCTATCTAGACCACTAAAATTTTGTTCATATCAGCAATGAGGCTGATTCGTATATTCACTGGACTAGCACTTTAATTTCCTTCAAGAACTTTTCTCTGCATTCACAACTTGGTTAACTGTGGCACAGGAGGCCTAGCTTTTGGCCTGGCTCAGCTGTCAACATGCCTTCCTCACTGAGCTTAATCATTTCTAGCTTTTGATTTAAAGTGAGAGACATGCGATTCTTCCTTTGACTTGAGCACTTAGAAGCCGTTGTAGGGCTCTTAATTTCCCCGATTTCAGTATTATTGTATCTCAGGGAATAGGGAGACCTGAGGAGAGCGAGCGAGAGAGGTAGTCTGTGAAGCAGTCAGAACACAGATTTATAAATTAAGTTTGCCATCTTGTATGGGTGCAGTTCATGGTGTCCTAAAACAATTACAATAGTACTATGAAAGCTCACTGGTCACAGATCACCATAACAAAATAAGAATAATGAGAAAGTTTGAAATAGTGCCAGAATTACTGAAGTGTGACACAGAGACACAAAGTGAACAAACACAGTTGGAAAGATAGCACCAATAGACTTGCTCGACATAGGGTTGCCACAGACTTTCAGTTTGTAAAAAACGTAATATCTGTGAAGCGAGATAAAACAAGGTATGAATACAGTATTAACTACAGTCGCCATATTGTACATTACATCCTCATGACTTATTTATTTTATAACTGGAAGTTTGTACCTTTTGACCCCCTTCATCCGTTTCACCTACTCCCCACCCCTGGCAGCCACCAATCTGTTCTCTGTATCTGTGAGCTTGTTTTGGTTTTAATTCCACATATAAGTGAGATCATATAGTATGTTCTTCTCTGTCTGACTTCTTTCACTTAGCATAATGCCCTCGGGGTCCATCCATGTTGACCCAAATGGCAAGATTTCATTCTTTTTTTTATGTTGCATAGTAGTCCATTGTGTGTGTGTGTGTGTGTGTGTGCGTGCATACATAACCACATCCTCTATACCCATTTATCCATAGATGGTCACTTAGGTTGTTTCCATATCTTCCATATCTTGGCTGTTGTAAATAATGCTGCAATGAACATGATTCCAGTAAAGGCCTCTTTTTTACCTAAGGGTTATAATTAGGATAATGACTTATTTTCTGATAGGCAGGTAGTAATTATAAGTACGAGTTTTAATTATATTAAGTTTCAAATGACTTTCAATGAATGTTGTTATAGATGAAAAAGTAATACTTTGTTAAACTAGTTCCAGCATATTCTTTATATGCATTATCCCTGTGAAAAGTTTTTTTCTGGGCTCTAGCTACATAGTCTGTTGTTTAACAGATGTATCCAGATCTCACCACTCTCTAACTACAAAGTAAGGTGACATTTTAAATGTGTATATATATATATATACACACACACATATATATATATATATATCTGTGCAAGGCCGTATCACTATGAGATTCTGCTATGTGTGATTGTAAAAAGCTAAAATAACAGTGGCTTAAACACAAAAAGGTATATTTCTTTCCACTTACAAGAAGTGTGGATGTGTTAGAGTTCAGGGCTATGGGGCAGTTCCACTGTAACCAGGGACAGAGGCTCTTTGTGTTATTCAGCGTTCTGTCTTATGTAAGTCTTTAGGCTCTTGTAACCAGTTCCATGTGTGTGAGTGTGGTACCGTGTGGGACTGTGGTGCCCAAGCAATTCTCTAGGGATACCAGCTGGAGTTGTTCTACAGTTAAACTCAGTTCTGACACTGTCTCCCCAGAGATAGCATCAGATCCCACAGGTTAAGGACTAAGTCCTCCAAGACTGTCCCCCTCACCCCCTACCCTCAGAAGGCAGTCACAAGCCCAGATTGTTACCTGTACTTCTTACTGACCAGCTATTAATCAGAGGTTTCCACTGCTTGGGTTGGATTAATTTGTTAGAGCAGCTCGCAGAACTGAGAGACACATTCTACTTACTGGATTACTGGTTTAGTACAAACTATATAACTTAGGAACAACCAAACGGAAAAGATTCATAGGGCAAGTTATGTGGGAAGGGATGCAGTTTCTATGCTCTCTTTTGGTGCTCCATTCTTACTATAGTTCCAGGTGTTCACCAATCCGGAAGCTCTCCAGACTCTATCCTTTTGGGTTTTTAGGTAGACTTTTTTACGTAGGTATGGCTGATTAAATCATTGGCCATTGGTGATTGATTCAACTTTGAGCCCCTCTCCTCTCAAAGGAGGTGAGGGAGTGAGACTGAACATTCCAACCCTCTAATCACATGGTTGGTTCCTCTGGTGACCAGCCCCCATCCTTTGAAGTGGGGCATTGCAAAAGTCACCTCATTAACATAACAAAAGATGCCTTTATCTTTCTCATCTCTTAAGAAATTCCAAGGGTTTTAAGAGCTCTGTGCCAGAAAGACGACAGAGACCAAAGACATTTTTCTTATTATTGTTAAAACGAAATTCAACCGAGTAAATTTGAAGATATAGTTGGTTTTATTAAGCATTCATGAATCAGGCAGCATCCCAGGAGTTGTACGAAATGGAAGGTTTTATAGGAAGGAGGGTTTGGGCAAGAAGTTATTAAGAAAAGAAAGAACTGTTTGAGGCATAGTCATCTTCCCTTAGGGGAGAGGGCAAAGGATTTTATTAGGTAAGTGGATTACCTCATCTTCCTTTGGGGTATGGAGAGGACCCAAGTGACAGATTATCTGTTTTCTGATGAGGACATTTGTGACTGACAGGTTAAAAGTACATTTCTGGGGGAAAAATTGGAACTTCAATTAAGTTAGGTATTAAGCCCCAGTTTGGTGACTTGGTCTGGTATAAGTGACTCTATCTTCGGCCTATGGTTTTCTTTTTAGCGTTACAAATCACAATATTATAGTAAGTGACTTGATCCAAGAGATCTTCAGGAGCTCAAGACATATAGGTGGCAGTAAAGAAAGAGGTAAAAATCAAAGAGCTGTACCACCAGTAATTTGCAGTATCCTGTTACGAAAATTCAGTCACATGATGGAACCTAGCTGCACAAGGAGAGTAGAAAAAGTCTTTTAACCGCATATTGCTGCCCTGAATAAATTAGTATTCTGTTATAAGGAATAGGGGGAGAGTAGATATAGATAGGGTGGGCATCTAGCAGTTTCTTCCACAATATGTGATCTTTGTTTTTCCTGAATGTATTAGGGTTCTCCAGAGATGAAGAGATTATAAGGATTTGGCTCACACAATTAGGGAGGGAGGCTGGCAAGTTGGCAGAATAAGTGTTCAAAGGCCATCAAGAGGGAAGAGCTTAATGTTTCAGTTTAAAGGCCAGCAGGCTGAATTCCCTCTTATTTGAGGGAGGGTCGGCCTTTTGTTTATTCAGGCCTTCAAATGATTGGATGAGGCCCACCCACAACATGGAGGACAATCTGCTTTACTCAGTCTATTGATATACGTGTTAATCTTATTCAAAACCACTTACAGAAACACCCAGAATGTTGGAGCAAATATCTGGGTACCCTGTGGCCCACTTAACTTGATACATATAAGATTAACCATCATTATAGTCATCTTCAACTGAATATAAAACTAAAATATTTATATTGTAAAAACACCAAACAATTATAGACATTTATTATGTAGAAATCAAAATTTCCTTATATTCCTACCTCCCAGAGATACCTGTTAATAACAGCTTAGTGTATTTTTCTCCACTTACTTGTAGTATATATACTAGTATACATACTAATGTATATATCTTACAAAAACAGGATTACATTACTTAATATATATATATACACACACACACATATATACATATATAACATGTAGTACTGTGCTTTAATTTTTACGTTTTTATTCTAGACCTTATTCCATGTCATTAAATGTGGACCTACTTCTTCTGAACATTATTTCACTATGGATGTATTATCCATTCATTCATATTTTGATTTATTTAATGAATATTTTTCATACCTACTATGTGCCAAGCAACATTTATATGTCGGATCCTCTGTTGGTAGAAATTTAGGTCATTTTGTTTGTTTTTATTCTTTTGTTTTTTATTATAACAATGTTGAGGTAAACATCTTTATCTTCAGACATTTTTGCAAGAGTTTATTCTGTAAAGCATATTTCTAGAATTGCTCAATAAGAAGATACCCATATTTTAGGTTTTAAAAGGTGCTGCTAGCCAAGAGTTTGTCAACCTCAGCCCTGTTGACATTTTGGGCAGATAATTTATCATTCCTGGGCAGGGTGGTGTGAGGTCAGGGGAGCTGTTCTGTGCATTGTAGGATGTTTAGCAACATCGTTACCCTGGATACCAACAACACCGTCCCACCCCCAAGTTGTGACAATCAGAAATGTCTTCATACATTGCCAGATGTCAGGACGCCTGGGTGGCTCAGTCGGTTAAGCATCTGCCTTCGGCTCAATTCATGATCCCAGGGTCCTGGGATCAAGTCCGCTGTCAGGTTCTTTGCTCAGCAGGGAGCCTGCTTCTCCCTCTGCCTGTCACTCCCCCTGCTTGTGCTCTCTCTCTCTCTCTCTCTCTGACAAATAAATAAATAAAATCTTTTAAAAAACAAAACATTGCCAAATGTCTCCTGGTGGGGAGACTGTCCCAGGTTGAGAACCAGTACACTAGCCCTTCTCTCTTTTCCTGTTCCCGTGCCATATAGACAGCTGGGCTTGGGATGTCAGAGCCCAAGTTGAGTGAAGAGATGTCCACATGAGAGGCAGCCTAGCATGGGATATTGGAGGCCAACTGCAGTGAGGAAGGCAGTCACAAGGGATCATGGCTTATTGTGGGATGTCAGAGCACAGGCTGGATTAGGAGGGTTTCCAGCCATGAGGGCAGCCTGGCATGGGGTGTTCTGAGCCTCAGGCAGGGTGAAAGTATGTCCATATTAGAGAGGCAGGAATAGTCCTCTCTAGTCCAAAACAGAGAGTGCTTCATTTATATGGCTAAAGGCCTATTTATGATGGTTTCCTTACATTAGAGCTTGCTCCCTATGGAGATCCATTACTGATTTGATGATTTAATATCTTTTAAATCACATAATTAGGGATTTTTGGCTGATGTCTCTATTCTATTTGGAATTATTTTAATAGTAGGAGAAGCTAGTCCAAGAACATAGCTCACAGCTACGTAAGGCTCACTTGCTATCACCTGACAAGTACTTGAACCATGCAAATAATCCCATCTTTGTGGCTGACACTCAGTAACATAATCCTGAGCCAAAGAAACTAAATAGAAGAGTACATACTACATGATTCTATTATATAAGCTACTAAAACGCAAAAATAATCTGTGGTGCTAGAGGTAAGAATTGTTTACCCTTGGTAAGGGTAGCACTGGAAAGGAGATGCATGAGGGGGCTTCTGAAATGTTGATGTTTTCTTTCTTGATCTGGGTGGTTAACTTGTAAAAAGCCATTGAGCTGTATGTGTAAGATTAGCACACCTTTCTATGTGTGTGTCATTCTTCCAACAGAATGTCCACCCCCCAAAAAATAACCTGTTCTTTTACTCTTGGAAAATAGTCAGACTCTATTCTCTGAATCACATAATTATCAGAAAATAGAATGTTAATGGCTGACAGACCACAGCATAGACCAACTAAATAGGTTGGCACGTACCACTCAAACTGAGGAAGGCCCAATAAAAGTGCTCAGTCTACCAAATTTGCCAGGTGATATGATAAGCTGAATGAAATATGTCTTGTTCAGCAACATTCAGAATACTTTTATTGAAATTCTACTTTATCATAGGTGCTCTTATTTTTAGGTTTTGGAGGCACCTGAGGACACAGTACCTACTTCCATGTACTTCCTACATGGAAGTGAGGAAGACTAAGCAGTTAGAATACAATAACATAAACACTGATAAATGTGCAGAGTTAATTCACTGAAATCACAGAGAAGGGGAGGTCACCAAAGGATTCCTGAAGGAGAGAAGGATGAAAGTTAGCTAAATGAAGAAAATGGGGAAGAGCATCCAGGTAGGAGGAACAGCACATGCAGGGTACAGAATACAACTCAGCATCACACATTCAAGGAACTGTCCTTGTGACATGGACAGCACAGGGACCATCAGCATTATCTTATGTATCATCAAGAGCCTACCCCAGAGCCTGATTCATGATAGACATTCAGATATTATTTAGGTGAATAAATACCTAACATAGCATCTGTTATGTGAAGAGGTCATCAAAGAAAGATCATGAGCCTATAATTAATTCTAAGAAGCTCAGAGTTCATTTAGTAGGCAGTGAGGAGCCATTAAAGAACTTAAGTATTAGAATAACATGATTTGTGGTATTTTAGAAAGGTTCTCTGGGAACTCTGTAAAACAAGGATTGAATCTTTCTCTAGAAAGAGAGTAAGTTAGGGGAATTTGTGTATGTGTATACATGAATGTGTGTTCTTACACATGCGTGTGAGTAGGCATTTGGTGAGAATTGAAGCAATGGATACTACATATAGATAGGAAGTTCCTAAAATAAAATAGAAATGTTAAAGATTGTGAACTTAGAGTGTAGGCCCAGTGAATATGGGATGAATTTGAAGGTGATTTAGGAGATACAATAAAGAGGGATTAATGTCGGGTTATAAGAAGCATTTGAGGAAGAGGCATCTTGGATGACCCCCAGAGTTCTGTCTTGGGTGACTGGTTGAATACTGATAGCACACCATTTGCTATGATAGGGAACACAGGTTGAGTAACAGGTTTATGTTCCATTTTGTTTTCCAGGAATCTAGTGTGTTCCATGGCTACTTACGATTCTGGTAATTGTGATCTGTCTACTAGGAGGTGTTTAGTTGGCAGTTGAATATCTGGACAAGACCGAGGCCTGAACCAGAAAGATGATATGGTATTTGATAGCATACTAGTAGAATTTAAAGGTTGGGTAAAACTCCCAAAACATCTGTCAGTAGAATACATGTTTAGATTTATTAGGCTAAAGAGAGGAAAAGAGAAGTGCAGATGTTTGCTATAAACTTGTTTTACAGTTTTTCACTCTGCTTTTTTACTTCTCTGGTTTTTGTGGGGAGGCATGGTTGGCTCTGGTTTGTAAGTCTCATGATAGACTCTCAATATAAAATCTCCCAAATTCCTTGTTTTCAAATTACGAACACAACTAAACAGCCTATATTTCTTGGGGAGAAGGCTAAAAAGGGATTTTTTCTTTCTTGAGAAAGTTGTGTTGTATAGTAAAAAGAGCTTAGATGAACATTGGAGTCAAAGTTTGGTAGGAATCCTGCTTCTCATATTATTTAGCTATGTGCCTTTGGGCAAGTTATTTAGTTTCACTAAGACGTAGCTTATTTATTTGTAAAACTGCAGTAATTATAGCTATCTTTTAAGATTATTATAAAAATTAAATGAGATGAGCTTTTGGATCTGGAAGATAATGGCAACTGTCCAAATGTAAATCTCTCCACACATTCTCCCCAAAAGCCGTAAGACCAAACAGGACCACACATGTACACACACACACACACGGCCCATATATAAATCATACCTTCAGCATTACTACAACATAAATAATACCATGAATTTTAAATTGCTTTTATGTAAAGAAACAACAAATTACAACAATTCCTGTTGCTGCTACAAACCCCTGAGTCTGGAAAGTGGGGCAAAGAGAGGTTCAAGAGACAGTGAAGACAGGAAAGGAGATAGGAGGTTTACAATGAAGCACAAGCAAAATGACCCTCAGAAAGAAAACATCCCGCACACAACTGGGAAAATACAGACACAGGCCTGAGACTTAGGAATTCATAGCACTAGCTATAGGGAAGGTGTGTGAAAGAGAGGGACCACTAGCAGCATCAGAGATAGAGAAAGGATGGTGCCCCTCAGAGCCATTGCAGGGAGAGGAAAAAAGAAAGTAAGGAGAAAATAAGTGTCTGGAGAAATCAAAGAGAAACAAGGCACACAAGTTCAATACCCACCCACCCACCACCACCCCTACCACCACAACATCATCTGTTAAAACAGCTGCTTTTACTAATCTGCAGAAGCAGACAGCCTTCGACTAAGAACTCTATCCATAAAGTGCTCAGAAATAGAAAAAAATTAGATGCTATAAAAAGCTGCTTTAAGAGGAATACACAAAATATGAACCAATGTATTTCCACCAATAAAAATTCTTTCACAGAAAGGAAACACAAAACAGAGGGCAACTCTTATTTTTTTAATAACAGTTTAATATATAGTCTTATATTAGTTTCTGGTGCACAATATAATGATTCAACAATTCTGTACGTTACCCAGTGCTCATCACACTAAGTGTACTCTTTTTTTTTTTTTTTTTAAGATTTATTTGTCAGAGAGAGAGAGAGCACAAGCAGGGGAAGCGGCAGGCAGAGGGAGAAGCAGGCTCCCCACGGAGCAAGGAGCCCCATGTGGAACTCGATCCCAGGACCTCGGGATCATGACCTGAGCCGAAGGCAGTCACTTAACCAATTGAGCCACCCAGGTGTCCCGCACTAAGTGTACTCTTAATCCCCTTCATCTCTTTTACCCATTCCCTACGCACTGCCCCTCTGGTAACCATCAGTTTGTTCTCTGTATTTAAGGGTATTTTTTGGTTTGTCTCTTTTTTTCTTTGTTCCTTTGTTTCTTACATTCCACATATGAGTGAAATCATACGGTATTTGTTTTTTTCTGACGTATTTCACTAACGTTATACCCCCTAGATCCATCCATGTTGTTGCAAATGTCAAGATTTCATTCTTTTTTTATGTCTGAGTAATAATATTCGTGTGTGTGTGTGTGTGTGTGTGATCTTCTTTATCCATTCCTCTGTCAATGGACACTTGGGTTGCTTCCATAACTTGACTATTGTAAAAAGTGCTGCAATAAATACAGATGTGCATATATCTTTTCAAATTAGTGTTTTCCTATTCTTTGGGTAAATACCCAGTAATGGAATTAATGGATCCTATGGTAATTATATTTTTAATTTTTTTTTTAAAGATTTTATTTATTTATTTGCTAGAGAGAGTGAGAGTATACAAGGGGGAGGGGCAGGCAGAGGGAGAAGCAGGCTCCCCGCTGAGCAGGGAGCCCGATGTGGGACTCGATCCCAGGACCCTGGAATCATGACCCGAGCCGAAGGCAGCCGCTTAACCGAATGAGCCACCCAGGCGTCCCTGTATTTTTAATTTTTTGAGGAACCTCCATACTGTTTTCCACAGTGGCTGTACCAGTTTGCATTCCCACCAACAGTGTACAAGGGTTCCTTTTTCCTCTGCGTCCTCTTCAACACTTGTTTCTTCCATTTTTTATTTTAGCCATTCTGACAGGTATGAAGTAATATCTTATTGTGGTTTCAGTTGCATTTCCCTGATGCATCTTTTCATGTGTCTGTTGGCCATCTCATCTGTATGTCTTCTTTGGAGAAATGTCTGTTCATGTCTTCTGCTCATTTTTTAATTGGATTATTTGGGGTTTTTTGGTGTTGTATAAGTTCTTTATATATTTTGGATACTAACCCCTTATTGGATAAATCATTTGCAAAGATCTTCTCTCATTCAGTAGGTTGTCTTTTTGCTTTGTTGTTTCCTTTGCTGTGCAGAAGCTTTGTATTTTTATGTAGTCCCAGTAGTTTATTTTTGCTTTTGTTTCCCTTGCCTTAGGAGACATACATCGAAAAATGTTGCTACCACTGATGTCAGAGAAATTACTACCTTTGCTCTCTCCTGGGATTTCTATGGTTTCAGGTCTCACATTTAGGTCTTTAGTCCATTCTGAGCTTATTGTTGTGTATGGTTTAAGAAAGTGGTTCAGTTTCATTCTTTTGCATGTAGCTGTCCAGTTTTCCCAACACCATATGTTCAAAAGACTGTCTTTTTCCTTTGCATATTCTCGCCTCTTTTGTTGATTAATTGACAGTATAATCATGGTTTTATTTTTGGACTTTCTGTTCTGTTCCACTGATCTATGTATGTGTCAGTTTTTGTGCCAGTATCCTACTGTTTTGATTAGTACAGTTTTGTAGCATATTTTGAAATCTGGGATTATGATAACACCAGTTTTGTTCTTCTTTTCAAGATTGCTTTGACTATTCAGGGTCTTTTGTGGTTCCATACAAATTTGAGGATTATTTGTTCTAGCCCTGTGAAAAATGCTGTTGGTATTTTGGTAGGGATATCCTTAAATCTGTAGATAGCTTTAGGTAGTATGGATATTTTAACAGTATTTGTTCTCCCATTCCATGACCATGGAATCTCTTTCTGTTTCTTTGTGTCATATTTAATTTCTTTCATCGGTGTTCTTTTATAGTTTTCAGAGTATGGGGTCTTTCACCTCTTTGGTTAAGTTTATTCTCAGGTTTTTATTATTTTGGGGGCAATTGTAAATGAGATTGTTTTATGAATTTCTCTTTCTCCTACTTCATTATTAGTGTATAGAAAAGCATTGGATTTCTGTATATGGATTTTGTATCATGCAACCTTACTGAATTCATTTATCAGTTCTAATAGTTTTTTGGTGGAGTCTTCAGGGTTTTCTATATATAGTATCATGTCATCTGCAAATAGTGAATGTTTTACTTCTTTCTTACCAGTTTGGATGCCTTTTACTTCTTTTTCTTGTCTGATGCCTGTGGCTAGGACTTCTAGTACTATGTTGAATAAAAGTGGGGGAAGTGTACATTCTTGTCTTATTCCTGATCTTAGAGGAAAAGCTCTCAGTTTTCACCATCAAGTGTGATGTTAGCTGTGGGTTTTTCATATGTGGTCTTTGTTATGTTGAGGTATGTTCCCTCTAAACCTATTTGTTGAGGGTTTTTATCATGAATGAATGTTGCACTTTGTCAAATGATTTTTCTGAATCTATTGAAATGATCATATGGTTTTTATCTTTTCTCTTACTGATGTGATGTATCATAGTGACTGATTCGTGAATAATTGAACCATCCTTGCATCTCGAGAGTAAATCCCACTTGCTCAGAGTGAATGGTTTTTTTAATATATTTTCAGATTCAGTTTACTAATACTTTGTTGAGGATTTTTGCATCTGTGTTCATGAGAGATACTGGCCTATAGTTCTCTTTTTTTGTAGTGTCTTTATTGGTTTTGGTATCAGGGTAATGCTGGCTTTGTAGGATGAATTTGGAAGCTTTCCTTCCTCGTGTATTTTTTGGAATAGTTTGAGAGAAATATGTATTAACTCTTCTTTAAATGTTTGGTAAAATTCACCGGTTAAGCCATCTGGTCCTGGACTTTTGTTTGTTGGGAGTTTTTTGAATACTGATTCAATTTTATTGTTGGTAATCGGTCTGTTCAAATTTTCTGTTTCTTCTTGATTCTGTTTTGGGAGGTTATATGCTTCTAGAAATTAAGACATGTTTTCTACATTGATCAATTTGTTGGCATATAATTTTTCATAACATTCTTTTATAATCTTTTGTATTTCAGTGCTGTTGGTTATTATTTCTCTATTTTTAAAAAAATGTTATTTATTTATTTGACAGAGAGAAACACAGTGAGAGAGGGAGCACAAGCAGGGGGAGTGGGAGAGGGAGAAGCAGGCTTCCTGCCGAGCAGGGAGCCCGATGTGGGGCTCGATCCCAGGACCCCAGGATCATGACCTGAGCTGAAGGCAGACGCTTAACGACTGAGCCACCCAGGCGCCCCTATTATTTCTCTTTCATTTCTGATTTTATTTCAGTCTTTCTTTATGATGAGTCTGGATAAAAACTTATCAATTTTTTTTTCTCATTTCAGAGAACTAGCTTCTGGTTTCATTGATGTGTTCTATTTTTTTTTAAATTTTTTGTTTAGTTCTGCTTTAATCCTTTTATTTCCTTCCTTCTGTTTTTGTGTTTTATTTTCCCTTTTCTATCTCCTCTAGATGAAAGGTTAGGTTGTAAATTTTTCTTGCTTCTTGAGGTAGGCCTATATATTGCTACAAACTGCCCTCTTTTTTTTTTTTTTTTTTAAAGATTTTATTTATTTATATGACAGAGAGACAGCGAGAACAGGAACACAAGCAGGGGGAGTGGGAGAGGGAGAAGCAGGCTTCCCGCTGAGCAGGGAGCCCGATGTGGGACTCGATCCCAGAACCCTGGGATCATGACCTGAGCCAAAGGCAGATGCTTAACGACTGAGCCACCCAGGCGCCCACAAACTGCCCTCTTAAAACAGCTTTTGCTGCATCTCAAAGGTTTTGGATTGTTGTGTCATTTGTCTCCACGTTTTAATTTTCTCTTCGGTTTCTTGGTTGACCTATTCATTATTTTAGTAGCATGTTATTTATCATCCATATATTTGCATTCTTTCCAGATCCTTTCTTGTGGTTTATTTCTAGTTTCAAGGCATTGTGGTCAGAAAAGATGCATGGTATGACTTCAGTCTTTTTTAATTTGTTGAGACTTGTTTTGTGTCCTAACGTGATCTCTTCTGGAGAATGTTCCTTGTTCACTGGAAAAGAATGTGTATTCTGCTGTTTTTTAATGGAATGTTCTGAATGTATCTTGTTAAATCTGTCTGGCCCAATGTATCATCCAAAGCCACTGTTTCCTTGTTGCTTTTCTGTTTGGATGATCTATCCATTGATGTAAGTGGGGTGTTAACGTCTCCTACTACTATTGTATTACTATCAATTACTTCCATTATGTTTGTTATTAGCTACTTTATCTAGTTAGGTGCTCCCATGCTGGGTGCATAAATATTTACAATTGTTACATCTTCTTTTTGGATTGTTCCTTTTGTAATCATGTGATGTCCTTCTTAGACTCTTGTTACAGTCTTTGCTTTAAAGTCTATTTTGTGTGATTATAAGTATTGCTACCCAGCTTTCCTTTCACTTCTGTTTGCATGATAAATGCTTTTCCATCAGGTCAGTTTCAATATACATGTGTCTTTATATCTGAAATCAGTGTCTTGTAGGCAGCATATAGATGGGTCTTGCTTTTTTATCTATTCCATCATTCTGTATCTTTATCAGAGCATTTAGTCTATTTACTTTTGAAGTAATTGTTGATAGGTATGTACGTATTGCCATTTTGTTACTGGTTTTATGGTTATTTTTATAGTTTTTCTCTGTTCCTTCTCTTGCTCTCTTTCACAGTTTGCTGGCTTTCTTTGGTGATATATTTGGATTCCTTTCTCTTCTATTTTGCATATCTATTACTGGTTTTTTATTTGTGGTTAGCATTAGGTTTATCTATAACATCTTATGCATATAGCAGTCTATATTAAGCTGATGGCCTCTTAAATTTGAACCCATTCTAAAAGCACTAAATTTTTACTCCTCACCCACTTCCACATTTTAAGTATATGATGTCATACTTTACATCCTTTTATTTTGTGAATCCCTTGACTGATTTTTATAGATATACTTAATATTACTGCTTTTATGCTTCCTACTGTTCTTACTCCTGCTTATGGTCTTTCCTTTCCAAAGAGTCCCCTTTAACATTTCTTGTGAGCTTAGCTGGTTTAGTGATGATGAAGTCCTTTAATTCTTGTTTATCTGGAACAGTCTGTCTCTCCTTCTGAATGATAGCCTTGCTGGATAGAGTATGTTTGGTTGCAGGGTTTTTTCTTTCAGCACTTTGAATATATCATGCTACTCCCTTCTTGCCTGAAATTTTTTTTTCTAAAAAAAATCAGCTCATAACCTTATGGAGTTTCCCTTGTGTTTGTTTCTCTTACTGCTTTTAAAATTCTCTCTTTATCACAATACTTTGCCATTTTAATTACTGTGTGTCTTGGTGTGGACCTCCTTGGGTTGATTTTGTTGGGGGTCCTCTGTACTTCCTGGATCTGGGTTTCTGTTTCCTTCCCCAGATTCAGGAAGTTTTCCACTATTATTTCTTCAAATACATTCTCTGCCCCCTTTTCTCCATCTTATCCTTTTGGGATCCCTATAATTTGAATGATTCTACACTTGATGGTGTTACTGAGTGTCCTTAATCTATTCTCATTTTTTTCTTTTTTTTTCTTCTGTTGAGTTTGATTGTTTTTCATTACTCTGTCCTCCAGGTTGCCAATCCATTGCTCTTTCCTTTAGTGTACTGTTTATTCCCTTTAGTGTATTTTTTATTTCGGTTATTGAGTTCATCTCTGATTGATTCTTTTTTAAATGTTTTCTCTTTGTTGATGTTCTCACTGAGATCCTCCACTCTTTTCTGAAGTCCAGTGAATATCTTTATGACCATTACATTAAATTCTCTAGCAGGCATATTACTTATCTCCATTTCATTTAGCTCTCTTGTTCTGTTTTGTCCTCTTCTTTATTTGGGACATATTCCTGTCTCCTCATTTTGCCTAACTCTCTGTTTCTATGTGTTAGGTAAATCGGCTACATCCCCTGCTCCTAACGGCAATGGCCTTAAGATGAAGATTCCTATAGTGCCCAGCAGTGCAGTGTCCCCCCTGTTCACCAGAACTTGGCACTCCAGGTGTCTCCTATGTGTGTTGCATGTACCCTACTATTGTGGTGAGCCACATTGCCTTCAGTCCAGTCGTCTGCAGTGACTCCTTGCCTGTTGCAGGCCATGGTCCTTGTGTCATTAATGGGCCAGTCTGGGGCTGCCTTGGGCTTGAGTGGAGTCAGAGCAGGTGCTTGTCAGAGATATAATATCACTGAACTGCAGGGTGCTTTCTCTTTGTTGTCCACTGAGAGAAGCTTTTGTTGGTAGGTGGGACCTGCAGTCAGACCACATGTCTGGCCTCTGCCTACTGCTGGGGCTGCAGTCAGACTGGGGTGTGTGATTGCCTTCCCCTCTCCCCAAGGCAGGAGTCACTTTGGAGCAGTGCTGGCCTCTTTTGGGGCTACTTGCACACTGCCACGCTTGTTGCACTGCTTTGGGTGGACTCCTGCTGAGGGCTTGTTGGAGGAGACAGGTCCACAGGAAAGAGCTCTGTTAACAAGGTAGGTGGAGAGAGTTCCCAGTGGTTCTCCCAGGTGTCTGTGTATCTCTGCTGGGGGTGGGGGGAGGGAAATGGCACCTTCCAGCTCTTTTGTTCTTGGAGAAGTCTCCTAAAAATCCCTGTCTCTCCAGCATACATTCTGAGATTCATAAATGAATCTTCCCCAGGTGTTTTTCAGACTGCTCTTTCTAATCTATATCTCAGTGGGGCTCTTTCTTACACTGTCTCTTTTCAGTCAGGGACTCACTTTCTTTTCTTTTTTAAAAAAATTTTATTTATTTATTTGACAGAGAGAGACACAGCTAGAGAGGGAACACAAGCAGGGGGAGTGGGAGAGGGAGAAGCAGGTTTCCCGCCGAGCAGGGAGCCCAATGTGGGGCTCAATCCCAGGACCCTGGGATCATGACCTGAGCCGAAGGCAGACGCTTAACGACTGAATCACCCAGGCGCCCCAGGGACTCACTTTCTATCACTCTCTGGCTCTCCCAGAGCCAAGCTCACTGATTTTTTTAAAGTTCCAGTTTTTAATCCCCACTGATGATAAGAACTCGAGATGTTAAGACCCTCTGGTTTTCAAAGCCATATGTTATGAGGATTCCTTTCCCAGTGCAGGTCCCCCATGCCTGGTGAGGTGTCTGCTCCTCTCTCTGTGCCTGCAGCATCACTTCCTCCTGCAAACAGTCTCCTAGTCAGTTTGGTTCCTAGCCACGTCTCCACCCTTCCTACCCTCTTTGATGTGACCTCATCTCTACATTTAGTTGTGGAGAGTCTTCAGGTTGTTTTCTGGGTTATTTACACTGATGTGGATGTTACCTAGTTGCATTTGTGGGATGAGGTGAGCTTAGGATCCTTCTACTCCACCATCGTACCCAGAAGTTTCAGGAAACTATTAAATATTCCAACTGAATAAAAAAATTCTCTTGTGGACATACTAATAAGGGCATTGATGTAAGAGGCATTATAAAAGGAAGGAAAACAAACGAAATAATGGAAAAGATGCAGGAAGAAGTAAAAAGCTTGAGAAAAAAAGTGTGTGAAATGCAATATAGGCAAAGGAAGACCCAACATATCTACAATTAGAGTCCCTGAGGGGGAGAAATCAGTGGAACAGAACTAACTACTAAACCATAATCCAAGGGAACTATTCAGAAACAAGAGAAAAGCTGAAATCTAGATATTAAAAGGGCCCACCTGGACAGATTGATCCAGAACAATGAACTCTGAGTCAGAAACTATTAGACTTTAAAGGCAATTTTTTTTTCTGTCCCCTGGGGTAAGGAATGAGCAGAAGATCACTTTACTTAAAAAAAAAAAAAAAAAATTAGATTTACATCAGATTTCTCAAGAATAATATACCAAGGAAAGCTACCATAGAGCAGCATTTTTAAAAGCTCAAGGAAACAAAATTCAGGCTTAAGATGTATTTGCAGTTCTTTTTGTTCACAGGATGTATCCTAATATATGTGTGTGTGTGTGTGTGTGTGTGTATAAAAACTACTATGTTTTAAGCCAACTTGAAATAATTTTTCCTGTATATGGTTAAACCACCAAATCTCTACATAATTAAGTTCATTTGTTTTGTTGGTTTTTTTTTTTTTTTAAGATTTATTTATATATTTGACAGAGAGAGACACAGCAAGAGAGGGAACACAAGCAGGGGGAGTGGGAGAGGGAGAAGCAGGCTTCCTGCAGGGCAGAGAGCCCAATGCAGGGATCTATCCCAGGACCCTGGGATCATGACCTGAGCCGAAGGCAGACACTTAAAGACTGAGCTACCCAGGCGCCCCTAAGTTCATTTGTTTTATTTTGCTTTTTATTTTTAGGGTTTGTTATTTCAATTTTATTTTTGCTTTATTTTTTATAAATCTTAAAGTATTCAAAATAACATAACTGACAGTTGTGGTTTATTTTTCAAAATATAAATAGGGGCGCCTTGGTGGCTTAGTCAGTTAAGTGTCCAACTCTTGATCTCAGCTCAGGTCTTGATCTTGGGGTCCTGAGTTCAAGCCCTGCATTGGGCTCCACACTGGGCCTGGAGGGAAAGGAAGAAAGGAAGCAGGGGGAGGGGTGGAAGGAAGGAAAGTATTAGGCTTATAGGAACAGTATTTAATCAAAGGAATGTTTATAGTTATTCAAAATTTTCTACTCAGTTTTTTCCTAAAATGGGTAAGGAATTTACTATAATTGAATGTATCAGCTATTCCTGTATTCTAACTGGGAGTCTGTACCCTTCAAGGCAACCCTAAAAAGTGTAACACACTACTACCACGCGCACTATTTCTGAACTACTTCTAGGAGTGTGTATCAGTATTTTCTAAGACATTGGAACTATCACCAGAGTCTTGCATGAACTTGTCTTAACCCTATCACCTACTAATTTGGGTTACTCAGGGCCTCAGTTATAAAGATAACTGCTCATCTACCTTTCGAATACCAAAGTAAATTTTTGCATAATATCCAATATAAATAAAATGATATACTGTAAAAAATATGTGCCATGGCTTGAAATCTGAAATTTAAAACTTTAAATGATTCTGCTGGGTCATGGAAGTTTTTGCCACAGTTATAGTAACAGAGTATTAAAATTATAGTTACTGTGTCTCTTTCTGGAGGTTGGATCCTAAAATGTATAATTCTGTGTTTTCTCTTTTCAGAGGCAGATAAAATACTAGTAATGCGTGGACAGTGGTTTATTGATGGTACTTGGCAGCCTTTAGAAGAAGAAGAAAGTAATTTAATTGAGCAAGAACATCTCAGCTGTTTTAGAGGTCAGCAGATGCAGGAAAATTTTGATATTGAAGTGTCAAAATCCATAGATGGAAAAGATGGTAAGACCAATTAATACATTTAATATGTTGTAAACCAAGTAAGTTCTTAACAAAGTTTAGAGTAGTTCTTAATTTTGCCTAGTAATTCATGAGTGTTAGAATTTATAAAATTTCTGATTTAAACATTTGATGATTATTTTAGAATTTAATACTGCTATGAATTCCTGAACTGTCTCAGTTTTTATTTTACTTAATATATGTGTTCACTGACATGACACTAACATGACTTACTATTGTACAAATTATATGTGTTCCATGAATTAGTCCTTTTCAGTAGTTTGTAATTACCAACAAAAATTGAATCTACAAAAATATGTCATTATATCAAACAGGCAGTTTTGTTAATATTTTAATGTTGGTTCTTTTCCTGAAATTTAAGAAAAAAAACACCTTAATTTCCTTTGTATACGTATCTTTAGGTTGTCTCCATACTAATAACCACATCAACTTTTACTTTGAAACAGTCTTCTCTTTATATTCCCTTACTCAGCATTTGGATTTGTTTGCAATAGCTTAAAATATTTATATAATAGCAAAGATTGCCATGTTTCATTATATGTCTGATCTTGAGTAAAATTCAAAATGTGTGGTCAAGTTAAAAATACTTCTATTGTTCCATTTACTGCAGGCAGTGGGATCAGCTATTCTGGTGAGTATAATAATATAGGTAGGTTAGAATTTGTAGATTTCTCTAAATATTTTTTTCTAAAAAAGTGTTTCTTCATCTATGCTTGCCTTTATTTTGGAGGTTTCTTGGCAAGCCCTATTGAAACTAGTGAATTAAAATATGAATTAAGTGATTTTTTTTTCCCTTTCTCATAAAACATCTCTAAAGCAGAAAAACTCAGTATTGATCAAGTAATTCACAGAATGCAGCTTGGGAAAATTATGTGGTTATAAGTAATTGTTCACATGACTTAATTAATGGCAAAACAATAAGCTTTAAATTGGCTTGGATTATTTTTTTTCTTATTGTTAGTAACAAACATCCTAAGTCTTATTTCACCTACCCTTTCTCTCTGAAGACACACACGCATGCGCGCGCACACACATCACAAGCAAGGAAACTATATAGTTTAGTTTATACCAAATTAACATATCTTTTGTGTCTAGTTAATTAAAATCTACATAACTGAGGAAAGTTGTGGCTCATCACCACTACCAAAATAAGATTGCTATTAGAGAAGGCTGAATTCTAGATTTCTTTCTATTAAGTCTCCTTCAGTCCTCCCTCAGAAATGGCAGTTCACCTTAACAGACCCGGTTTAGCCACCCAAATTCCTTACTCTTAGTGTAGGGGGAAGAAAATCCAAAAGCTTGGAGGAGAAAAAGGGTGAGTATAAAAAATAAAAATATAAGTAGATTATTCCCCTTTCTTGTACTGTATTCAAAACATTCTTTTTCCTCTTGCTAATTCATCTTATAGAAGTTAGTCATCAGCTCTGTTTCATCTCTAGATCGCATCTATTTGGAATCTTGTTTTTATTACAATAAAAATTACAATTTTTTTGTCTTTTTTATTTCTACTGCCTACCAAAATGCTGAATATAGCAGGATACTTCAGTTTTCTTCACAGTGCCCTAATTTTAATGAGCCAGTCATTTAAATAAGTCTGATAAAGAATGTAGTATATTTGTGTGAGTAGATTTTTAGTATGTCTTTGAGTGTGTGTGTTGATTCTAGAGTATCAATTTAGGGTATTATAGTAATATTTTTTGCTAGCTTTAAGGATATACTTTGGTCAGAAAATTTTTAAACTGTTATAACATTTTTGCATTGTAATCTTTCAAAATGATGATTTTTTAAGGATCATTAGAAGAAAATTGGTTTTTTAAAATACACTGTAGCATATAAGTAAAGCTTCAGCATATTTTATTAACAAAGATTTTAAATTCAATTTCGTATATATACTGTCATAAATTTACAGCCATTTTAGTTGTTATTCAGTTTTATGTAAAACATTTCTGTGTTAAGATGTGATATTTGACCTTGAAGATTATGGGAAATTTTGTAGTACATTTGAAAATTATCACTGGTCTTGAGGAAAGAACATCTGCTGTCCAGAAAGCCACCATTGTTAGAAAAATCAAATTTACCACATCTACAAAGATAAAAACATATTATAATCTTTTGTTTTGCTTCTTACCTCTAAGCTTCTGAAATTTCGTATTTCATTAATTAATTAGGGTAAAAAATATCTTTTCCACCTAAATTTTCTCATGTACATATGAGAAAGCCTGACTCTTCATATTGTCAGGAGGTTTTAAATGTTTCCATGTGCAGATAGTACTGTGCTAGGCACTTTTGTGAAAGATACCTCAAGAAGTTTTGAGCAAGACAAAGACAAAGATGAGAGTAGTTACAAAGAGTAAGTATAAGGTAACACAATAAACAGTGAATACAGAATTAGATACTCTACAAACAG